GGCTTTTCCAACCAAACAATTCCATGATTCTGCCCACCCCCCTCCACATCCCAGCACAGCACACGGGGTTTAAGACCCAAATCCTCACATCCAGAGATGCTCCTCATGGAAGGTGCCCATTGGGGAGCGGGGTTCTAAGGTGGCACCCACAGCCAGCAGGGTACAAAGTGGTGGTGTTTAATTACTCGATATACAACAGGACGTTACGCAGCCACCCGCCCCCTCCTCCAGAGAAAAGAGAACTATAAAGTTTATCGAAGGATAAAAAGGAGGATCCTTCCCATCCCACAGTAGCAGGGCTGCCTCCCTGCCCTGCTCAGCCCCCAAATCCAACTCTGGGTGGGTGAGGACACTTGGGGACACGCCACCCCAGCAGGTCTGGGCAAGCTCTGGCAGATGGCACATGCAGGTGGTGGGGAGGGTGGCCAGCACGCAGCGCTGCCAGGGTGAAGGGCAGGACATCACAAAGTGAAGCTGCCCAAAAAAGAGTCCTTGAAATTCAAGTTCTACCAGATAAACACACAGAGAGAGACGAGGCCACTTGGAGGAAGAAAGGAAAAACACCCCCCTCCCCCCCCCTCCCCAAATAAAACAAACAAACCCAAACAAATAAAACAGCAGTTGGAAGAGATGTCCCCAGCTCATCCTGACCCCGTGCCACCGGCGCAGCTAACGCTTGGAGAGCTCGTGCGATAGCCAGTCCAGCCCGTCGTACAGCCCCGTGCCCTGGGTGGCACACGTCGCCTGCACGTACCACTGCAAAACAGAAGGAGATGGAGTAAAGACCTCTGGGATCTGCTGATCACCAGCCCCGTGTGCCACCAGGAGCAGCTCCACGGGTCCCTCCCGCAGGGGTGGGGATGGGGACGGCACCCCGGTCACTCACGGTCCTGCTGCGCAGCGTCTGCAGCCCCAGTTTGTCGGTCAGCTCGCTCACTGCCATGGCGTTGGGCATGTCCTGCTTGTTGGCAAACACCAGCAAGACGGCGTCCCTCAGCTCGTCCTCCTGCAGCTGTGGAGACAGAGGGGACAGCTGAGCCGGGTGACGCCAGAGGGTGGCTCTTGGTGAGCCCTCAATGAGCTTCTGACAGCACCACAGCAAGTGAGACCCGGCTTGGAGAGACCCAAAGAGCTGGGAGGGCTCCAAGCTCCTCTGCTCACCTCCAGGACCTTGGCTGCTCTCCTGCCATCGCTTCCTGGAGATCTTGGTGGCACTGGGATGCTCTTCCAGGAGCACCTGTCCCCTTCACAGAGGGGACAACCAAATTGGAGCGTGGGGTACAGGGGAGAGGGGCACAGTGGCCACCACGGGGGTAAGAGAACGGGCACAACACTCTCCAAACAACACCAAGCAGGTGGTGGGCATCTGCCCATCCCTTGTCCCCACTCTCAGGCTGTGACACGGTCCACCCCCCTCCCCAGGGATGCTCTGTCCCCCGAGAAATAACTGTCCCCCACCTCACAGGATGGCTTTTGGGTGTTGTTTTGGGATGCTGCCTCTGCTCCCCGTGTGTGCTGGGTGCTTGGCTGGTAAAGCCCAAAGGAAAACCCAAACCTGTGTTTTCTTGGCCATTTGTCCCCCTTGCAATGGCTCCTGAAGCCCCTCCCCAGAGCAGCCAAGGTCCTGGAGGTGAGTAGAGGAGCTGGAAGCCCTCCCAGCCCTTTGGGTCTCTCACCCAGCTCTCTTGGGTGTCCCCAAGCCCAGGTCTGGATGGATGCTCCAGACATCATGTCAGGTGCAGAGCAGAGCTGGGTCTCATCTCGCACCCACCCAAGTATTGCTGCAGAGCTGGATGAGTGGGACAGGGGACACCCACCTCCCTGCCAGAATGAATCCCCCCAACACCCACCATCTTCTGCAGCTCGTCAGCAGACTCCTGCACTCGCTCTCGATCGTTGCTGTCCACCACGAAGATGAGACCCTGAGGAGAATCATAGAAACACAGACTGGTTTGGGTTGG